TACTATAATTATAGTTTATAATTCTGGAATGTAAAAGAGAAAATTTGGTTTAACAAAGAATGTTGAGTTTTGCTTACTTATTTTGAAAGCCCCATCATTTTCCTCCCTCTAAAAAATTGTCATTCTTTTAATTTTCACCTCTTTGGTTACTAATGAAATTCAGTAACTGCTATTGGTTTAATGAACTATTGGTACTAATGTTTAAAAATTCCTTTCAATATCCCCTATGCCTTTTCCTATTGAAATATACTATGTACCAACACTTAAATCTGCTATCAAGGGGCAAATGTTTTCATAGTTTTGATATTCTACTTATTTTATTTTTAATGCAGAAAGGTTTTAAATGCTCATATAATTAAATATCACAACCTGTGCCCTTGTGATTTTTGCTTTTAGTAAATAAATTCCACCTTAAGATAATGTTCAAATGACAGGCACACCTAAAAGGTGTTTCCTCTTTTTATCCTATCTTATTTCATTTTCTGATCACATAATTTGGGTAAAGCTTCCAGAACAAAGTTGCCTTTGGTATCAGTTGGCTAATTGCTAACGTTATAAATGTTTTGACAAGGAACTTATTTCACAGCACATATAAATGCTACAACTTCATTATAAAAATGATTATTGCAAAAATTTCTTTTTTAATTATAAAGATTTATTCTGACCTTTTCTGTGATAATGGTAATGAGGATGGGTGGGGGGATCTTCGTGACCCAACTAATTATTCTACTTGAACAGCTTTACAATCTTAGGAGCATGCACACTACTAAGTTTTGGAGAAAAGATTTATAAATTTGTCTCAAGACAAGAGTAGAGTAATGGAATAAATATAGCAGGAAATAAGTTTCACAAAATAAGGCAATGAGAACACAAAAAGACAGAAACTGGCTCCCAGCACTAGAAGACTCAAGTGACCAGGGAGAAAGAGTCCTAGCTATGAGATACTGAATGTTCTGGGACTACTGTCAAATTAGAAGGAGACACCTCTTTCCTTGATGTATCCAAAGACTTGAGTTATCCAATGCCTCTTGTTCAGATCTCCTGCAAAAGAGCCAACTCTTAGTGTGCTGTTGACAGCATCAGGTTCTTCAACCTCAGAGGCTCAAGTTCAGACTATTTTATCACCAACTAAAATCAGAGATACTTTTCTTCCCTGTACCAGAAATTGACTGCAAGTAGACAGAAAAGGGCTTTAATTATCGCTTTTTACTCTTTAAAACAGGATCAAACATTATGCTATTACTTGTATTGTGCCTACCCTCCTCATGATAACGCTTCATGCAAGTGGATGCTGGCCTCTAGAATTGGACCTGTTTCCTAAAGTTTTGGAGGCTGAGCATCAGCAAGAGGTACTGGCTGACCTGAAGGGAACTGGAAGATGTCCTTAGCCCTATTATTACTTTCTTCAGAAGAATGTATTCACAAAGCCAGAGAAAATTTGCACACACTTCATGTTCTATTCCTCTGCTGCTAAAGGAACAGTTGTGTACACTGCTGAATGGGGTTGAAAAGCTGCTCTCTGTTAAAGCCATTTTTTAATTCCCTAAGTGAAAGAAATTACTAATTACTCTGTAGTTACCTAAAATAAGTAGCATAAATGGGTACACCTCTAGAATAGAGCTGCAATTGGGGTTATTCAAAGGGTACCCCATAACTCAAACCCTGATGAATCTGTTGAGGTAATGAATGCCAACTTGGAAAAGAGAGACATTAGAGAAAAACTTTCTCTTCACTGACATCAGTGACCATGTAAGCCTTTCTCTATTTTAGAAATGTCCCATTTATAGAAATATTTTTAAAAAATATGTATAAAAGTGAAACAAATAGGACGAACGTATAAATACCAACTAGCCTCTGGTATGGAAAACTAAAACTGTAAATAAGGATCGAAATGTATAATTGATAATTGAAATAGGAAGAAGAGGTTTAAAGGAGTAGCAGAAGTGGGAAGGGTAGGGGAAAGGAAAGAAGGGAAAAGAAAAAAAACACGAGAAAAGGAAAAAAATGGAAACAAAATCTTTGTAAATAGGGAAGGATGGAGGGAGTGAAGGGAGGACAGGTGAATGGGGGGAAAAAAACCCAAGATACATCATGTAAAGGTACAAGACTGCAATGATGAATGTAACTGTATTGTATACCTAAAATGTACCAATAAACAAAGAAAAAAAATTACTGCATGCATGTTATGGTCAACAATGTTTGAAGTGATGGAGAAACAGTGATAAACGGCATAAAGGCTCTGATCTGAAAGGAATTTATCGGGCTGGGAATTTAGCTCAGTGTGGTTCTGCTGTCTGCCTCACAAGCACAAGGACCTGAGTTCGATCACCAGTACCAAACTAAATAAATAAATAAATTTTAAAAAATATTTGAAAGGAATTTACCTAGAAAATTCAAGAGAGTAAATGGTGGTGCAAGAAAAGACAGTAAGAGATGGGTGTGTTGGTGCAGCCCTGTAATCTTAGCACCTGGGAGGCTATTGCTGGCTTGGGCTACACAGTAAATTCAAGGTTAGTCTAAACTGCATGATAAGATCCTGTCTTAAACAACAACAACAATAACAACAAAAAGACAATAATCAAGTAAATAAGATAAAATAATCCGTAACTGATAGTGAATATTTTAAATTTCAAAAGCTAACAGGTCAACTCCCTAATTTTTGTTTTTGACTTTGTCTCACTATGCAGCCTAGGAAGGCCTTGAACTTGGCAGTACTGCTGCCTCAGCACTCTGAGGGCTGGGATTACAGGTATGTGTCACCACAACTGGAAAAATCTATACTGTATATTAATTTACATAAAAAGAAAACTAATTTCACAAAATATTTATTGACAAAATTTAAAATATAATAAAAAGGCAAATACAAAATATATACATATATGGAGAGATTTAGGCAACACTTCAAATATCCACTCACAAGAGAACAGAGAAAAGAATCCAATCAGTTGTTTACAAAATTTAGCAGAAGCCATGAGTGGTAGCACAGGTCTGTAATCTCAGCTGGTAGAAGGAACACAAATTCAAGCCTAATCTGGGCATTTAGCAAGACTCCATCTCAAAATTTAAAAAATAAATAAGTAAATAAATAAATAAAACAAAAAATGCTGAGGATGTAGCTCGGTGAACGGTCCTTGGTTCAATCTCTAGTACCACCAAAAGGAAAAAAAAAATTGCAGGGGAGGGGGTTTGGTTAGAATAGTTCATCCTGATACAGAAAATTATTCAAGATGTTTTGCTAAGTGAAATTCATAAGTGGAATAAAAGTATAACATTTCATTTAGAGTGAAGGAAATAGTACACAAATTTCTTCGTACAATGTAATTTCTAAAAGATTATATTAGTAAATTAATAATTCGTTAATTCTGGGGAATGGAGACATGTATACCTATCTTTCTCTGTATGGTATTTTTAAGAAACTATGATTATATATTCCTTTATAATTAAAATCTAGCAAAAATAACTCAAGACTTTCACTGCAGAAATAATTAAGTTTGCCACATTAAATAAATCAAAGATTTGTACTGTTCAATGAAAAAGCACAAAAAATTCTACATCCAAACTCACACAAAAAATTCAATTCCAAATTTCTTTTAGCTACACCCTTGAATTCTTCATGTTTCACTTTGTATTACTAAGTCAAAAGTTCTAAAAAATTTTCATTGGTTAGAGTAGCATAAAACATATATTCAAAGAAAACAATTAGAAGGATAAATGTCAGTTAATACTCTTATAAATTGAAAATATCTGCTTATTTTAATTCTGCATCTTCTAAAAATTAACAAAATATATAGAAACACGAGCAAGAGAATGCCAAAGTACTTACAGTAAAAACCAACAGCTGCATGCAGCAAAAATAAAGCAAAATCATAAAAAAAATTCAGCAAAAACAAACTATTCAATAGTTCTGTAGTTTTGCTCATATCATTTGATCTAATAACTTTAAACATGCAGCATAAACACTGATGAGCTCAAAATTAACATTAATCAAAGTTAGCTGATATCACACAAGCACTACAATTTATGGATATGATGCACATAGCTAAGTTCAGGGCTATTATTTATAAAGAGCTGAACTTCTTTTTTTTCGGGGGGGTACTACGTATTCAACATAAATATAAATAACACCATCTCTAGATATGTGGCCTTTTACAAAGTTCACACTTAGGGGTTGAAAAATGTGATTTATAAGTTAAATACTTATGACACATGTTCATTTATGTTACTGATATGAACACATGTTATAGCAGACTTTCTCTGAATAGATTTTTGTAAAAAGGCAACTTTAGTCCTGTTAAGATGTTTTTAAGAACAGAATTGTGCAATCAATGTGAAATCAAGTTGAGTAGCATCTCCTCCCGTTTGCATTTTAGCTCCATGGGGCTTAGCAATTTCTAAAATTTAGTAATTTCAACCTCTGTTGTTTCCCCAATGGTCTCTCCTCTCCCTGCAACCTTATTCCTTACTCTCTCAGCCCAGCTTTCTACATATGCCTGTGACAACAAAGTAACTGTAAATTTCTTTAAATCTATAAATTTCTCCAAATTCCTGTCTTATCTGCATAGCTTGTGTTTTTGGGAATATGAAAACAAGGTATTTACAAATACTCTATGTAGAGGCAGGTGTGGCAGTGCACGCCTGTAATCCCAGCATTTTGGAGGCTGAGGCAGGAGGATTGCCAAGAGTTCAAGGCAAGCCTGGGCTACATAGGAATTTAGGGTAGGCCTGAAATACAAAGGGAGACTCTGCCTCAAACAAACAAACAAACAAACCAAAACCAAACAAACAAAGAAACAAAAAACCCCCAAACAACAAAACCCCACAATGAATATTCTATGTGGTGCGAAAAGTACTACTGTTGAACACTTATGCACAGACACAGAAATAAATTTCCACTCTATCACATGATGAACCATGTAAGACCATGAAAATGTACTGGTAAACTTCTGAAAAATGAGATGGTGGCTGTAGCATGCACAGCTGGGCTTCCCAGCTGAAGAGATGAGGTAACATTTGAGTTCAGCACGGATGAATAAGAAAAATTTCACTAGATGCAGAAAAAGAGAACCCTATAGGTGGCAAACAGCATGGGCAAAGAGTTTTGAAAGTCCATGCCACTCTGAAAAACGGATGACTTATTACAGAGAATGTGTGGAGGCAAGAAATTGGTCCTCCCAGCAGCGGCAATTATTTAATATACCAGACAGTAAACCCAATCTGTAATTTTCCTAACTGTGGTACACGGTGCTTGCCTTTTTTTTTTTTTAAGTGTATCAGGCAAATAATTAACTTTCTATGCTGGTAACAATCTATTAACTTCTGATAAAGTAACTAGAGTGAGTTGTCTCATGTCTGAGGTATAATACAGAAACTGCCGGAAATTTCTAAGCAGTCATGATTCACTAAAATCCTTGTTCTACAAAAAAAACTGCAAAACCACGCTACTGGGTTTAGTAGTCACTCTACCAGTTAAGGCACAATTAAAATAAAAAGCAACGATGTACAAATTGATTCGCTAAACTGTGAGTGCCATGTCCTGACGTTTTAAAGCTGCTATTAAAACAAATTTTTATTACTACACTTACACTTTCTTTTTTCTAATACTGAGATTTATGTAGCCGAATTTCCTTTTCACAGTAGCAGTTCCTAAAAACTGTGGTTCAACCAAAAATATGCTCATTTGCATGGAAGCATAATACAGTGACAAAAACAACTTTCAATGTTGAGAGAAAATTCAGGGCTTTAAGAAAAATTACTAAGACATTTTTATATATCAGAGAAAGTTAGGACACTCAGATTAAAATAATCTCCGTTATTCTTTTCCATACCCCGGATTAACATATTTTTTGACTGAGAAATCTCTTTGCTTGAATTCATGTGCTTATATAGCAATTACTAAAAGACATCTAAGTCTGTGGTTGAATGAAGTTGATATATGTATGTATGTATTTTTGTTTTTTTGAGGCAGGGTCTCCCTTTGTAGTTCAGGCTGGCCCTGAACTCACTATGTAGCCCAGGCTCACCTCGAACTTGAGGCGATCCTCCTGCCTTAGCTTCCCAAACGCTGGGATTACAGGCGCACACCACCACACCCGGCTCATGAAGTCCCTTTTAAATGGTCTTTTGTTTAATTTCAGAGGAAGTACCCACTTGGTGTAGGTAAGAAGACATAGTCTTCCTGTCAGTGTTTTACATAAAATCATAATCCAGAAGTGGGAGAAGAGTCTGCAAGCAAATCTAGTCCTTACTGCACAAAGCTTGGTAATTTACTTGTCCCCGAGGCACCAAGGTGGCTACATGAACCCACATACCAACATTACCTGAAGGGTTGGAAAAGTCCAACATGCTGGTGGTTGGCTGAAGGAGATCAGGGCTGCTGGATGAGAGTGTTCCAGGAATAGGCATTATAGCCAGGCTGTGTCTACAGTGTCTCGTTCCCACAATGCTGTCATCCTGTGACTGGCTCAGGCCTCCATCACTTCAAAGGAATGCCAGACATCACATTAAGGGTTAGAGGGCACTTAAAGAGCAAAAAGTTCTATTCTCTGTGTAGTATGGCACAACACAGCCAATTCAAAGTGGTGAACTAAATGATTAAATTTTTAAAAATAGGACAGCTATAATGAAAACAGCAATATTTTAAATAAATACATTCAAATAAAATTTAATTTATACACAATTCCACTACATCATAAAGAAAAGTCATATTTAGTTTCTACTGTTTGTATTAGAAAAATTAAACCTATCTAGGGAGTCCCTGAAATTTGCCAGCTGTGGTGGGCACTAATATATGCATCCAACTGTGCACAGAAAGTGCCCCTCTTGTCTAGATCCCACCTGCCCCTACAACATATCAAAGCCAGAAGAGAAGGCAAGCCAGCAAATTAATCCCCTGTAAAGTTATATAAGAACAAGACAACAATGTGCAATAAAACAAAACCTAACATGTCTGTAGGGTTGTCTTAACACTTGTCTGTTATGCTAATTCCCATCTAAATTTTATTCAATGCACCATTCTGCCCAACACTTGCTTACCATACAAAGAGTAGCACAGAAAGCTTACCTATTATCACTGAAAAGGATCAAGCTGTAGTCTTAAAAGTGAGTGATAAGGGATATATTTAGAATAGGATAGAAAAAGTATAGGATTTAGGCAGATTAGAAAGTGGTTCAAGATGAGTTTAGGGTTGTTTTAAACAAATAGCTGAAGGCCTGTTAACAGCCAGATGAGAGAGAGCGAGCGAGAGAGAGCGAGAGAGCGAGCACCAGGACAAGAGCTGAAGAATAAGGGAGAAGTATGAAGCCATGGAAGAAAGCAGAGATTAATGTTTTTAAGAATAAGCTATGATGCCAGACAGACCTGGGATAGTTCTTTGACCTCAGGCAAATTTCTGTCACCAGATCTCAGCTTCCCTAATCTATAAATGTGATCAATAGAATTCTAGGCACACTCTAAGACTACTGTAAGAATTAAGTGAAGTGGGTGAATATTTTGGGGCAGGGGAAAACAGGATTTGTATTTTTGATTTTTTAATGGTAGCAAAGTTTTATTAAAGGTAGGAAAAGAAACAGGCTCAACAGAGTGATCTTGGGTCAAGTCAAAGTAGGCAAAGAAGTACACCCCACAGTAAGAAGGTAGGCTATTGTGAAGAAGCACAATAGCCAGATTCCCACTTTCAGTGATGTAAAATACTTTTACCAAAGGAAAATGAGAATTACACAAACTTAGGAGAAACACTTATTTTAACTAATTTATACTAAAAACCAGAGGGGGACAGTATGGATATAAGAAAGGCACTGCAGAAATGGAATCTATTTCTGGAGAGCAAAGGCAGTCTAATATGATAAGGCAAAAGAAACATTTTTGTTTGTACTTACACTAAACTGGCTCTAAACGCCTAGATTTGCATTGTTAGTTACAGTTAAATGTTTTTAGCTAACAGGAAAAGGAGGAAGTTTTCAGAGTTTTTTATACATACTCATGAATCTCGTTACGTAGTTCAGGCTGACCACAAACTCACTATGGAGCCCAGGCTGGCCTTGCTCCTATGTTCTGCGATTACAGGCATGCACCACCATGAGTTTTCAATGAAAGGAAGTTAGTCATTTCAGTTGCAGCAAGGTAGAGCTAAACCCATAGACTAAAAATTACACTTTTTTTTCACTCTTTCAGGAATATTTTTCTTCTTGAAAGTATGTCATGGTTTAAGACTTTGGACTTTTTTCGTGTAGTAGCGGGGACTGAACATCTTTTTATCTCTGACTGATGCTATTTAACATTAATTCTCCTTTTTATTTTATTTTATTTTGCAGTACTGGGGATGGAATTCAGGACAGCGAGAGGCAGGCAGCGAGGCCACTGAGCTAAATACATGGCCCTAATTTGCTTTTTAAATTAACAGATATATTATACAACTATAATCATGTAGAATTGGTTATAAATTCATGGTAATTAAGGTATGAACAGGTACATATGCAAACTATAAGGTCATATACAATTCATGCTATGCCAGGAATAAAACAGTATTTAATTGGCAAAACAGCCATGCATGAAGCTGAATTGATAAAGCCTGTCAAATTATGTCATTTCTTACCCTTGAAGTCCCCTGAGATGTGAAGCAATAACAGTAACAAGACAGATGAGGAATTCCTCGATATTCCTTAGCACTGAATTTACTCAGAATAAAAGTACTTAGTTTCATATTGTGGAACTAAAAAGGTCACAAATATAGTACTAATGGGAACAAAAAACCCCAATATTAAAAGCAAACAAAAAACACTGTCATTAAAACTGGAAGAAAAAAGTGCCTCATAAAATATGCAAAGCAATCTACACCTGGGAATGTTATAATAAAAAGAACAAAGGCATTACTTGCAAAATTGTGATTAAAGAAACAAAATAAAAGGAGAGTGATTTAAGAAAAGGAAATCAGATTGCCTGAACTGCAAAATAGTCTCTGGTAAATAAAAATCACACTGCTTTGCCTTAATATATAATGTTCTTCAAATCAATTAACTTTTATGAGATTAAGCTCGGGGTCTCATGTATAGGAGGCAAGTGTTCTACAATGAGCTGTAACTCCAGCCTAATAGCTTATTTATCTTAAAAGTAATTCACGATTCATGATTTTGGATTTTTGGTTGCCGTTACTGGAAGGAATCCAGTGGCTTCACACTGAACTACATTCCCAAACCTTTAATTTTTTGGGGGGACAGGGTCTAAATTGCTAATATGCCCAGGTTAGGCTTGAATTTGCAATCCTCCTGCCTCAGTCTTCCAGGGCCTGGGAATATCTTCTGTTGACTTGTCCCCTATTTTTAAGAAGTGACGGCTGCTAAAGGAAAAGATCAAATATGACCACTTTCAATGGGTCCTTGGCACACAGGAGATGCTCAGTTTTATTTCAATTAAAAACTAGTATTTGAGGTAGGAATCCTGAAGGATATAGACAGAAAGAAAAAGAAGGGAAAATCACCTGTAAAATCATAACTTACCAAAAAAGTCAGAGCCAATATTTTGGTATTTTTCTTTCTAGTCATTTCTGTGTTCTACGGTACAAATTATTTCGCTAATCCCTTATAATTGGACTTTTAGACTTCCAATATTATTTTATTATAGATATTACATCTAAGAACATCTGTATACACCTATAGCTAATTCTTATTAGAAATGGGATTAGTGAATCAAAAGATATAGCCATTTTGAAAGCTCTGAATAACAAACTGTCACAATGCTTTATAGGCAGCCTCTGGCCCTAGCTATTCAGAGGCTGATGCAAGAGGATCAAGAGCCTGGGAGCTGTTGCCAGGCTGGGCAACAAATCAAAACCTCACTTAAAAAACAAAAATAACAACAAAAACAAAAACCTTTATAGAGATCATTTGTTTAGTATTATTAGTACAGCAGTCTGAATTTATTATCTACTTTACATTCCTCAATTCTGGTACTATTCTGTCAATTTCTGACGAAATAAAGTGAGTTTTGTCTTAAACTGTATATCCTTGAATAGTACTAATAGGGATCATTTGAATTCATGTTCTGTTTTTCTATTGAAATTTTAGTGATTTTTTTACTAGTTTTTAAGACCTCTCTATATAAAGGATAGTATATTTCTGTGTTGCTGAAAGAATTATCTTAATGGGGGTAGATATGCTCAAAGTATTTTATATGCATGTATGCAAATGCTACAATGAAACTCAGTATTCTGCACCATGTACACTAATAAAAATGTATACAGAAAAACAGTTCACTTCAGATGATTCAATGCCTAGAAATATAATATACACTCATTCTCAAAAATGCAAAGTGGCCAATCTGACAGAAAAAAAAAAAACAACAAAAAATAAACTCTTCTCACAAAAGATGTCCCAAACTCCTTTATGACTTCTAACAGAATATTCTATTTTTTGGTATTTATGATGCTAAAATTATCATTTGACTAAACTGAAACATGTTTAGAATACAAATCCAGGGTATATGAATTTTTGAAGTGCAGCAAATTTTATTCCTATTTGTACTTATAGCCAACATGTTGGCACAAAGCAAAAGACTTGATAAAAGCTTATTAATAAATGAAAGAAAATTAAAACATCCCTTCAGAGCTTAAGTAAAATTTTTTCTTCTCTTTGGTAGCAATATAAAATGAAAATGGGTAAAATACTTGACTGCTCCTGGAGAACTCAATTTCTCTGTCTCTTCCTGTAACCAAAATTAGAATCCATGTATAGTAATTAATTCTCTTGCCCCAAAAGATAATACAGAGAGATATTTAGGGGCCTGAAACTCGAGTATGGCTGGCCAAGATGAGACGCGAACGTGCTGAAATGGGTCATGATTAGTGTTCTCTGGTTTTAGACATTGTAACTGTGCCACCAGTCAAAATGAAAACCTGCTAAAAGGTGTATCTATAGCTATACCATCTATCTCCCCATTCCAAACCAAATCCATCAGGGTTTCTGAAAGTGGAACTCAGGGCAGTACTTCCTAGGAACTCTCTTCTGCCTTCTGATCACCCAGGTTTTTCCCTTATGGTCATTTCAAACGGTATCAATCTCTTCAGTAGTGGTTGGTCTTTCTAATATTCTCTTCACTTTGTTCCTATTTGTGAGAACAAGACTTTTCTTATAGTGTTTGCAACACAGTATTAAAATATTTTGATTATTTTTGTTTTATTGTATTTTATTTTTGGAGATAGGGTCTTGCTATGTATTCCAGGCTGGCCTTGAATTCGCCACAATCTTCCTGCCTCAGCCTCCTGAGTGCTAAGATTACAAGTGTACACTACTCCGCCCAGCTGATTTTGATATTTTAAAGTTATGACTGTTACAAACAAATTGACTTCCTTCAGAAAGGAAGGAGTAAAGAATTTTCTATAAATTACTGTGATTAAGAAAAAAGCTCAGGATGTTTCAACACCTGAGAGTGTTACATTAATTTATTTCTCTGATTAGAAGTAAGAACTCATGAAGAAGAGCACTTCTTGATTTTTGGTATCTGAGATTTTTATTGAAAAAAATATGGAAAATGTTGCTGGTTTGAGAATGCTTTTTTCTTCCAGTGACTAAAACACTGTCTTATTGAACAAGTATGAACTGGATGCCTACTCTGTGTTATTACTGTACTTGATTGGGAATTCTGTAATTGGTTTAGAAAACTGAAAATGTAAAACATACATAGACAATATACTAGAGTCGTTTTCAATTATGTCACTTCAGTAGGCTGATTTAATCTGCATTTTACAGACCTTACTTTATATTTAAAATCTTTGGGTATTACTCAGTTTTTATGGTTTCTCATTTTTTAAATAGAAAATAGATTTGAGTACATGCCTGCAGTCCAATCACTTTTGGAATTTGAAGCAGGAGGATCACCTGGCCTTGGCAACTTAGAGAACTAATAAGCCAGGGATTTAGCTTACTGGTTCGTGAGTTTGATCCCTAGTATCCAAAACAAAACAAAACAAAAACCCCCAAAACAATATTTGTAACAGCCAAAGGTGAAGACAACACAAATGTCCATCAACCGATGAATGGATAAACATGGCAGTGAACTTAGTGAGACCTTGTCTCAAAATAAAATACTTTTAAAAGGGTTGAGTATATAGCTCAGTGCAAAGGCCCTGAGTTCAGACCTCAGTAACACATAACACATAGATTTGATTAAAAAGTTCAGTACTAGAATTCACGAGGGGAATAAACTATTTTATGAAAAGAAAAAAATTTTTTTTGTAGTGCTAGAGATTGAACTCAGGGACCTCACAAAGAGCTAAATCCTCAATGCCCCCCAACCGCCTTTTAATTTTGAGATAGGGGAATACTAAATTGTCCAGACTGAGCTCTGACTTGTTATCCTCCTGCCTTAGTCTTCCAGAGTGTTGAGATTACAGATATGCATCACCATGCCCAACCAGGAGAGATGTTGTAAGAGCTGGCAGCAGGCAATGTGACCCAAGGTTTAAACTATCCAAATTTCTAAATCAGGGGACTGAAAATTGGGCCCCCCAGGCATGGTGGTGCATGCCTGTAATCCCAGCACTCAGAAGGGTTGAAGCAGGACTGCCAAAAGTTAGAGACTAGTCCGAACTACACAACTGCACCAAACCAAACCAAACCAAAACAAACACAAACACAAACAAACAAAACTCAAGTGATCACACCCCTCTGTAAAATCCTGTGTGACTGAGATTGACAGTACCTACCTAAATAGCTTTGGAGGCAAGATACTAAACCGTGTTTTATCCAAAATCTTCCTGATTTTGTTTCTTCCACCTGAAACAGTATTTGCTTTAACTTTCTTATGTCCTTTCTCCTGTGATGTCTGTTCAATATCTCCTGGTACATCTTGGATTGAATGACGATTACTTTTTTTTTCAGCAATTTTTGGAATATGCGGAACACCAGATTTCTCTTGTTTAGTCCTACTAAGTAACTCTTTGAACACTGTGGAAATAAATAAACAAATGTTTCATTTTTCTTCTTTCCATTAGAAAGTTTTAACACTGAATTTTAAGGATAAACACAATCACTTTCGTTTATTTGGCATTTTGCAGCCCTATTCAACTAAACACAATCAAACTTATACCCATCCTTTATCAGCTCTATATGCTTTTCAGTTTTTACACTAGACTACTGATGCTACCCAACAGTCACTCTGGGAAGTGGGAAGGAAGTGGGTAGGCTATTGGCATGTTTCAAAAATGCACACATTCCTACTTAGATAAGCATTATACCTGCTAATCAGCTAATTTTATAGAAAAGCATATTCTAGAAGAATACCCCTGAAGTTAATGAGACACATAAGCTGTAAAAACAAATGCTTTGTTTATCCTAATGTATAGTAGAGTTTTGAGTAACCCCTGGTACTTGGGGCAGAAGAATTCCAAGTTGGAGGCCACCCTAAACAGCTGTCTCAAAATAAAAATTAAAAAGGAACTGGGGTGTGGGCCAGAGATTTAGCTCAGTGGTTCCACCGTCTCCCTCACAAGCACAAGGTCTGGAGTTCGATCCCTGTACCAAAAGAAAAAAGGTGGCGGGGATTGGAGTGTAGCTCTTTGGTACAGTGCCCTTGGGTTCAATCTATTAAAAAAAGATGTGTTTTGAGCAGTAGTATACTCTATATTCTTAAAAAGTTACAAATTTTACAAATGTGTCCATTGAAACTCAAAGTACAAAGAATAATCATTTCTTTTGTTTGGGAATAACAGAAAGCAAGTGTTTCTCAAAAGCTCAAAGACAAGCAGGTTGAAATGAACTAAGAACAAGTTACATTTAGTAGCTTGGTATTCAGTTGTAAATTCTGCACTGTTCTGAGTGTTTCTTTTCCTTTACAATTAACACAAGCAGACTGTATATATAAATGGGATTCAGGGTGATACTTCCATACATACACACAGCATGTATTCACATAAAGCCTTTTCCCAACCCCTTACTGTCCCCCACCTCCTTGCTCTTGTCCCCTAGCCAGTCCCTAGTCATAGCTATTCTACTTTCAAATCAACTTCTTTTGGTTTCCACAACTCACAAAAATATATGCCCTTGTCTTTCTGTATTTAGCTTGTTTTACCTAACATGATGTGCTTCCGTTTCATCTATTTTGCTGCAAATGACAGAATCTCTTTTCTTTACGGCTGAATAATACTCCACTGAGTATATAAGCCATGTTTTTTAAATTCATTTATTCAATGATGGATAGTGAATACTGCTGCAATAAATACAAGCATTTGGGTATCTCTCTTGTAGGCTGATTTCATTTTCTTTGGATATATAACTAGGAGTGGGTAGCTGAATCACATGGTAATTCTAACTTTGTATGTTTGTTTTCTTTTTCAATAAGGTCTCACACTATGTATTCTAGGTTGGATCTGAACTCACTATATAGCCCTGGCAGGCCTTGAATGGAGTGATTCTCCTGCCTCTGCTTCAGAAGTGCTGTAATTGCAAGTGAGCCACCACGCTCAGCCTTAGTTTTAAGGTTTTTGAGGAACCTCCACAATGTCTATACTCATTACATTACCAAGAGTGTGTAAGACTTCCTTTTTCTCCACATCTTAATCAGCACTTAGTTCTTTTTGAGAATAGCTATTTTAACTGGGGTAAAATTGCTAAACTTGCTGCAGTTTTGAACTGCACTTCCCTAATGGCTAATTATATTGAGTATTTTACATATATTTACTAGTCATTATCAATGTACAGTATAAACTTACAAAAAGCACAATTTCTGCCTTCAAAATAATGGAGATCTTTATGAGTCATGTTTCAAAGACATTTCTTAATTTAAATTCAGTAAGTCCCTTTTGGTTTCTATTTTTAAAGTTTTATTTTAAATCACATGGTAAAAATAAAATTTTATTTTCAAACAAATCAAGTCAGTTGTCCATTCAAGAAATATTTGCTGGGCTATGTGTATCAGGCACTATACTAGATTTCTGCATATTTCTCTAGTTGTGGAACTTATTACTGTCAGTCTAAGATTCTTGCTTGGTACAGAGAGTACATTCCAGGGAAACCCTTAAGATAGTAAGAAGGAGCAATATTCCTTAAGTAAATCACTTTAAAAGAAAAGAAAGGAGGGCTAGGGATTTAGCTCAGTGGCCTGTGCCTGCCTGGCAAGCACAACATCTGAGTTCAATTCCCATTACCAAACAACAACAACAAAAGTAAAGAGAAGAGAAGCAAAGCAAAGTGAAGCAGGGCATGATGATGTACGCCGGTAATCTCAGCACTTGGGAAGCCGGGCAGGAGGAATTCATATGTTTGAGGCAAGTGTGGGCTACATAGTGAGTTCAAGGTTGGTCTGAATTGCAGGACAAGACCCTGACTCAAAAAAAAAAAAAAAAAAAGCAACCAACAATGAGAGCAAGAAAAGAAAAAGATGAGAAGATCATAACCGTGCAAAGACAAGAAGAGACAAGAAATTATTCTAAGTATAGAAAATCTCAAGTTCACTCTCCATGGTGGAAGGAAAGCTCAAGAAAATGCAAATGACTAGAGAACAAAGTAGAGAAGTTGCCAATGCTCTGGTAAGGTATCTAAATTTTCTTTTAAGGGAAAAAAGAAATCAGAAAGGGCAAGGAGACTGCATTGGGGGCAGTATGTATGTAATTCAACTCTCATTTTTAAAAAAGTAGCTTAAGAAATTTATTTTAGATATATTTATATGAGCATAAAAGATAAGCACAATTATGTAACTTCTTTTTTTTTTTTTTTGTACTGGGGATCAAACTTGGGACCTTGTACTTGTGAGGCAGGCAGTGGAACCCACTGAGCTACATCCCTGGCCCCTTATTATGTAATTGTTAACTGAAATTACAAATAATTTTAAATGTCCATCAATATGACATGGCTCAATAAATAATGGTAGAACAAAGGCCAGGATGTAGCTAAGCAGCACAGTACCTGCCTGGCAAATGCAAGGTCCTGAGTTTGATCCCCTGGCAGCAAAAAAAAAAAAAAAAGAGAGAGAGAGATAAATCTATAAATCTGAGTAGTGGAAGTTTGTTAAAAGGTGCCAGAAAGTTGTGAAATGAAGATGAACAGGGAAATTAAAATTCCAGAGCAGGAAGAGGGCAAACTGAGATCGCCAGATAGATACTTTCTTTAGAGGCATTTGCTAAATCTAAACACAAGGTAAAAAACAAACAAACAAACAAACAAACATGAGGTGAGGCTAGGGTAGAGGAATGAGGGGAAAGAAAACTTGATGATTGTGAGGGTTGGTATAAAAACTGGATCTCAGAGAAGTTCAAAAGCAGTGACACTTTTCTCCTTGGGGCATGTGCTAGTAAGACAACACAGGAAGCTGGGAACCAGTTAGGAATTTTTTATAATCTCAATGTACTGAAAGGCAAAGTCATACAACAGGGAGGGCTTGCAAATAATACATGACCAATTTAACCCTCAACCTGTCTGGGGTGGGAGGCTAAAGAGCTAAGCCCCAAATGGAGAGCAAACTTACAAAGCAGAAGAGATAGAAACCTACCAGACTGAGGCAAGATACATTGCTTGGGGGTGGGGGGAGAATAGGATGAATAGGTGAAAGGAAGAGTGAAATTTTCTAGTCTCTCAGTACCTGGAGACGCAGATTCCACCAAACAAGGGCCTGCATCAAGCATGTGATTAAGCCTGGCTCCATCTGAAACTGCTAGACACAGTGTGAATAATTATGTAACCCAGCTACCCAGCTCAGTGCCCTCATCTTATCTACTTAGAGGAAATGGCAAATCCTTCAAGAAAATATTTTCATCTTCTCTAAGGTTCTTTTATATGAAGTACAACTTCAAATTTATCAGATACACATAATAAAAACCAGGGGTAGGGCATAAAAAGATGATTTAGATGTCTGTGTTAAATACACGATTTACATTAATCATTGTAAATATTTTATTTATTTTTACTTTTCCTTATTTTGAGGCAGGCCCTTACTATGTAGTTCAGGCTGGCGTTTAACTCACTATGTAGTCCAGGCTCCCAAGTGCTGGGATTATAGGCATATGCTACCATACCAAGCTGTGTAAATATATTTTAAAATACAGAAGAAATAAAATGAAAGATGGGTAACTAATGCCTATAAAAGAACTTTACATGTACATTCTGTGGGAAGTTAAAACTGAAAAATTAAACTCATTGTACATGTGTAACCTCAGACTATGCAGCAGAAGACAAGATGACTTTGCTAAAATACTGAAAATATCCAAACTGAAACAAAAAGAGGAAAAAAAAGTCAAAAGTTCAAAACCGAAAGAGGTATAAGGGTTTAATATCCAACTTTGTGGGTTTCTCTCTCTCAGCTCAATTATAAATCCAGTATTTTCAAATTCATTAAGGTTCATTTTCAGTCCTCTGGAAGTAAAATTCAGAGACCATGACTCACGAGCAGGAAGACAGACAGAGAAAAAGAGATCTGACTGTTGCCATATGCTTTTCAAGGTTCTCAGGTCATTATTCTATCCAGGTTTTATTGTTAAGTTCAGTGTGAGGTGAAGGGTGGCACGCATTTATTCCATTTTATCTAGAACTGGAACACTTGATTCCTACCTTCATGCACACAAGAAGCAATCATACAGTCTATGCTGATATTTAGGAATGCCTGTGCTTTTGCTTTTTCTGGCTCATCCTAACTTTAAGAACACCATATAATCTTTGGTTGTTTGCTTGACTGTTTTTGAAATTTTATTTTTACAATAATAGACTGCTGTTGGCATCCTCTAAAGATGATACTCTTACTTAGCTGAACTGGGTGGTGCATGCCTATAGTCCTAACACTTGAGGGGATGAGGCTGGAGGATGGCTGTGAGTTCAAGGCCAGCCTGGATTACATGGAGAAAAACTGTCTAAAAAAAAAAAAGATACTGTACTTGCCTTTGTACAGTTCTAGGTCAAAATTTAAGGTTTTTCTGTGTGCCCTAGAGTGAGAATTTAAGAGTATAGACCCCATTCACTTCAGAGTAAGCCTTGCAAGGTTTCAATCCTAACAAATGCTGGGGTATTCTGGCCTTTGGTGGGCACTAAACTACAAACTTGTGGGTTTATCAAGTGGATCTTTCTCAGGGCTACATTCTATGAATGAGAAAAATGGCCCTGGCCAAAAAAAAAAAAAAAAGAGGCACCCCTTTGGGGTACAGTCCCAGAAATGGGGAAGGGATCTGACATTATCCACGTTTTGGGTTCCATCTTACCTTTTCCTGGGAGTTTAGTACCAAAAGAGGATCTGTCCCTCAGTTGCTTTTTCTACAATGGTAAAATCCTGAGTGCAAAAAAAAAAAAAAAAAAAAAGGCTTCCTTTTATCTAAGGTCAGGTGGTTCTTCACTATCTTTTTGGATATTTTTACACTTGCTTGCAGCAGCTACTTTGTACCTTTCTTTGTGTTATTGTCTTCAGTCAATGCTGGATGTAGAAAGTACACATAAATTTTTAAGTTTCACTTTGCTCAGGTCATGGACCCTTTCCAACAGAAGAGTTACATCTTTCTTTCACTCTGTGGTAGTCTGTTATTTCCTCAGTATTTTATGAATGAATATATATCCTAGAATAAATAGTGCTTCATTCTATTTTGTCTTTTTGTTCTATAGCCTAAGGATCCTTGCAAGAGATCCTTACAAAAGAACTCTGAAACAGAGCTGGATGGACAAAGTGAAGCTTTGGGAGACTAATTTGTCCAAGGTGACACAGGGAGATTTCCTCAACTTTTATTACTATTTTTTAATTTATTTTGAAACAGAATCTCACTATGTAGTTCAAGCTGACTTTAAACTCAAAATACAGTCCAGGCTGGCCTCTACCTCGCAGCAATCCTCCTGCCTCAGCCTCCTGAGTTCTGGGATTACAGGCATGTGCCATTATGCCTGGCTCAACTTTATTACTGATTCCTTTTTTGGTGGGGGAGGGTGGGAAGAAGACCAGAGATTCAACCCAAAGTGCTGAGCAACGTCTCTAGTCCCCTTTTTTTGACAGGGTCTTGTTAAAATGCCCAGCCTCACCTTGAACTTGCAGCCCTCATTTCTTGGCCTACTGACTAGTGGGAATTACAGGCATGTCCACACCTGGCTATATGGAATCCTTCTACTGAAAACTTTTGCTACCGCTACCATACTTTAATGACATTCTAAGAGTTGTTGTTTTCTCCTAACATGCTGTTCTTATTTCAAAGAATTCTCTCCTCCCATTCCCTCTCCAAGGGTGGAGGAAAGCCACTCACATCACGGTGGTCAGGAAGTAAAGTCTCAAAGAATTTTTAAATTGCTGTAAGCACAGTTGTACAAGTGCTTTTTGTCTCTTCCTTAAATTATGTCTTTCTAAGATTTGTGAGATCATTTATGCTTCCCACCATTCCCTCCCTCAATGCTGGTTCCTTAATATGCTGGCTTTGAGTACTAAGCAATACAAAACAAATCAAGCATGGTTTCCTCTGGAGTTAACTAAACACTAAACATTAAAGCTTTCCTTGTTTTTTCTTTTAAGATGTTGTGTGGGAAAGGTTTTATGCTGGATGGCCTCAACTCTACTTCACCATAATGCCAGAGTCACTAAGGTTTTATTGTGGGCACCACAATTAGACCAAAATGATTCATTTCTACAAATATTTGAGACACTTTCTGATGTTTTGCTTGGCTGACTATATCCTACCTAGGGCAAAGAAGGAAGAAAGGACTGGTGTGTTCCTTTTGTAGCACATGTAACTCTCATTGTTTGCGACATCCAGTCTAAGGTTCTCATGGACAACTGTATGCTCACCACTCAGTTCCAAGGGCATTTTGTCTTACCCGCCTTCTACATCCTTAAGTATCCTTCCTGCTTCTCATTGTAGCACACTTTATTATGGTATCTATATATTTTTGTATATCATAATATCTAATATCAAGATTATGTGACATAGACAAAGAACTTAAAGATAGGATCCTTGCGAGAGACCCTTATGAGAGAACCCTAGGAAACAGAGATGGAGAAGGTAAAGCTTGGAGAATAATTTGTAAAAGGTAACACAGCAAGCTCTGCCTTTCTATCTTTCAAAATTGGTATCCTTCAGTTTAACTTACAGATTCATGTTTCTGGATACCAGTCTAAACTTTAGGAAACCCAAGAACTGTGAAGGCTTGCTTATTTCATGCTAAGTTATTAATGGAGTATTAGAAATCTTTAAGTCACTACTTAATGTAATGCCTTATTTTCATATTTTAGAAAGTTAGTTCAAATGTTACAAATAGCTTGATCGGCATTATTAGCAGGGAGGAATAAATCCAATTATGACTTCTCAGTTTGACTGAAGTCATTCTTTTATTCAGTATTGCTCCAGTTAAGTGCTACTGTATGATGTTCATAACCTAAATGACTGAGCATAACTGAACATCTATTTCCAAACTTACTTCCTAAGAGAACAAAGTAACAAATAAAAACCATGAAAAATAAAAATTCTACATTATACTAGGCAAAACTATCCTGATAAAACCTTAATAGCTTTGACCAAAAAAAAAAAAAAAAAAAAATCTTACTTTTTACTATCTTCATTTAATTGTAATGATTTTTTTGCTTTTTCTATTAGCAAAGTAAGGCCAGGCAATTTTTATAATAAAACTCACCAAAAATGTTGGTCTTCACAGTAACTGCAAGATGAGTATTATTCCTCAAAATTTCAAGAGCCTTCACAAATGTAATATTTTCGAAATTTTGTCCATTTACTTCCATTATCTTAAAAGTATTTGAAAAATACACATTAAATTATATTAGTTTTACATCTACAATCTTAAAAGTTTAATAATGAAAAAAAATTAATAAAATGCACCATATGTGAACAACAACAACAAAAAAATCACTGTGAGAAGGTGGACTATGGTTTAATTTTTCTTTCCTATACTGCTGTTTCCCCAAATATCTACTTTAAACATTTAAGTTAGGATATTACAAAAATTTAAAACATACACAGTATTTATGTAGAAATGAAGATAAATTGCTAACAATGTCAGATCAGCTCATAAAAACTTGTCTAAGAATAAATTTTAGTTAAGTAAACATAAACGTATAGCATTTCAAAGTGCATTAATTTTAGCCAGCACTCTAAAGCATATTTATTTTTTAGGTTTACATTTTTTGGGACAGGGTTTTACTATATATTTCAAGCTGGCCTTGAACTCACTATGTAGCTCATGCTGGCCTCAAACTTGCTGCAATCCTCCTGCCTCAGCCTCCCAAGTGCTGGGATTACAGACGTGCACCACCATGCCTGGCCCACTCTAAAGTATATTTAGTAGGGAAAGGGTTCTACTCACTGGTTCTACTGCCTGCTTTGCAAGCGCAGCAAAGTCCTGAGTTTGATCCCTGGTACCAAAAAAAAAAGTGTATTGGGTTTCCTTTCCCCACATGAACACTGCTGATCCTTTAGAGCAGGGACTCTCCATTCTGGCTATACAGCAGAATCATATAAGAGGGTTACTAAAAAAACATTTCAAGGGAAAAAGGACAAAAATAAACACAATGAGAGAGAGAGAGAGAGGAAGCACAGTACTGAAGGATTGACACAAAAATTCCAAAAGAATAAGAGTATAAAACAGTGCATTGGGAAAAGAAAAAAAGAATGATACAGAAGTAAAATTTGTACTTGAAACAGATCTGTATCTGGACCAGGGACTAAGCTCAGTGGTGGTGCCACCTGCCTTGCAAGCACAAGGACCTGAGATCTATCCCAGTCAAAGAAAGAAAGAAAGAAAGAAAGATGTAATAATAATAATAATAATAATAATAATTAATAAGTTATAATAATAAGATCTGTGTCCACATACTAAAATGGCTAATCTAGTACCATACAAAGATTATAAAAATAAAGAGATCTATGCTCAGTGGTGGTGCCACCTGCCTTGCAAGCACAAGGACCTGAGATCTATCCCAGTCAAAGAAAGAAAGAAAGAAAGAAAGATGTAATAATAATAATAATAATAATAATAATTAATAAGTTATAATAATAAGATCTGTGTCCACATACTAAAATGGCTAATCTAGTACCATACAAAGATTATAAAAATAAAGAGATCTATTTTTTAACATATATTAATTAAGTTTCTTAATCCCAAATGCAGAGAAGAAAGATTATAAATAGTTCCACCTGCCTTGCAAGCACAAGGACCTGAGATCTATCCCAGTCAAAGAAAGAAAGAAAGAAAGAAAGATGTAATAATAATAATAATAATAATAATAATTAATAAGTTATAATAATAAGATCTGTGTCCACATACTAAAATGGCTAATCTAGTACCATACAAAGATTATAAAAATAAAGAGATCTATTTTTTAACATATATTAATTAAGTTTCTTAATCCCAAATGCAGAGAAGAAAGATTCTATAAATAGTCCTATGGAGTAGGGGAAATCAAAAGTGTGAGAAAAAAATAAAGATTGATTTGGATTTTTTTTTTTTTTTTTTTTGGTACTGGAATTCAAACTCAGGTCCTTGTGCTTGCGAGGCAGGCACCAGAACCACTGAGCTAAATCTCCGGCCCTATTTGGACTTGTTTTGAGCAACACTAAGATAATGTTTATCTTCCAGTAACTTTAGGGCTTTGAGGAAAAAAGTCACTGCTACTAGAGAATTTCATATACAAAACACTTGAAGAACAAGAAATACTGTATACTAACTCTAGGGTCCTGCCTATTAGACATTGCTAATAAGTAGTCTGGGGTAAGACTAAGATGTCTATTTCTTTAATGTTTCATACAGTGCACCATGATATTTCATACTACATAAAATTTTCCACTGATGTTAGGTAATAGCAAGTAAGGAACTCAAGTGAGTTCAAGCCCAGCTTAAATTACATATGAGCAATGTATTTTAAAAACAAACCCTAACCCTAACCTATCAAAAAAGCTCAGAAAAATATTTCCTTTAACAGGTCATGCTCATCTGAAGAAATATCAGATGAGAACAAAAGTAGCAGATACACTGTTTTTTGTTTTTTGTTTTTTTTTAAAGCTTTAAGTGATAAGTTATTTATTTACCTGGTCACCACGTTTCAGTCCTGCATCAGCAGCTTTGCTACCAGGTTCAACTCCTTCAACAAAAATACCAAATCCTTTTTCACTTCCTCCACTTAGGCTGAAATGCAGAGGTGACTCACGGGAAGCCTTTTGCAGCACAACTTGTCTCCACTTAGCCTTTGCAGCACAGGCAATATTCAACAGCCTGAGATGACCATTCATTTTCTGTAAAGCAGAAAAGAGTAAAATACTCAAAACTCTACCTATTCCTATAGGCTTCTAAAAAGTCACCGATCAGAGTATAAACAGACAAACTATAGACCATGTGATATGGGATAAACAAAAAAGAGGGAGAAGACACTTTCGCCCCAGAGTACTTTCAAGAATGAGATGTCTTAATATGATTTTTGAATTCTTTTGGATAATAATACGTTAGAAAAGATTTGATTTAAAGAGGAATGACAAAAAATTACTTCTCACTCTCTGAACTTCCTCTTTTGCTTATGTTCTGGATGGTGAATAAAATAAAAATGTTTCTAAACCTTTATTTAAAACCTTGAATGACTTGAACCACATAAATGTTTCACTTTCTAAGGAAGATTTCTTGTATTATTTTAGCTGTTCCTTAGACTCAGTCATATTGTAAGTTCTGGGTTCTAGCCAGTTTACTATTCAATTATTTTCAAATAATGTAAAATATACATTTCACTTCTCTAATAAGAAACTACCCCTCCACAATAGACTTAAGTTTTATTCTTGTTTTGATCCTACATAACTCCTTGGGTTATTAGAATTCAAAAGATACTTGATAACTGATGGTTTACTGGGGAAAATTTCTACGATTCTAAGACAGTTTTCACATTCACTGTCCCTTGGGTGTTTTTACAGCCAGCACCAATAGAGCCAAATGATTCTGGTGTCGCTCCATCTAACTTCTGTCCCTGTTCATCTTCCATATTTTGTATAGAGCAGACACACTGCTGAAGAGTCTACAGGAACCAAGGGGTAAAGACACAGACAAAATATGCCAATTTTCTCTTCTTCATTACACTCAATCCACTTATACTCTGAAGACTACAGTTCTTGAGCATTTTCCATTTGTTTTTAAATTGTTACAATCATTAGCTCACAATCATATACTTTCACTAAATTAGAAGTTATCAATCAACTGAGGCATATGGTGAGGCACCTTGTCCAATTCATGTATCTAGCTGGTGGTGGTGTTTGATTTTAATTCAGGCAACCTGACTCCTGAGCTATACTCTCAACTCGCTGTGCTGAATTATTTACATGATTTCTAAAATTTCAAGTTGGAGCCATAACCCGCTCACAGCTCAGTTTTATATCTGACAGAGATAAAAGCAATTCATGGATCGCTCCTGTGGAAATAGGAGGACCTTGAGGGAAATGTCATCGGTGCTACATATTTTTAAAAGATGAAATCACACATAGCAGATAAACCTTTCAAAGTCTTAATGTAGATACGATACGTAAGATATACATTCAAAGTTCTAGTTTCAAGGGGCTGGGGATTTAGATTAGTGGTTCTGCTGCCTGCCTTGGAAGTGCATGGACCCGAGTTCGATCCTCAGTGCCAAAAAAACTCCCCAAAACAAAAACAACAACAAATACAGTTCCAGTTTCAAACAGCAGGACAAGAAAGAGAATTCCAGCATAGTTTGAGAAAGAGAACTGACAAAGAATATACAACAGTCTGGTTTAGCTGTAATCCAGTGTACACAGGAAAATGGCTAAAAATGTATATAAGCAGCACAGATACACACAGGAACTACCTTGGTAGGAATTACAGCTTACTGACACAGACAGCCATAGGCAACGTTACAGTTTTAAAATAATTCTTGGCTCACATACATAATGGACTAGAAGGAAGACAAACAAGACCTAAGATCACTTTAAGATCAGTTAGCAGGCTATTCTAACAGATCAGGGGTAATTAAAAAAAAGTCCTAAATTAGATGGGGAAAATGGCTAAGAAAGATTATAAGCAGATATGTGTATGTATATACCTAACTCATTGAGAGGAAGGACTTTAGAAACCAAATAGACAGCTCAGCTACTGAATTCAAGGAAAAGAGTAAAGGGGCCCATATACAAGACTATTTATATGCCTGGGAAACTAAAAGATAACAATGTTATTAGTCTTAAACAGAAATGAAAGAGTGGGCACGAGAAGATCTGCATGGGTTGAGATGGCAGAGGAGAACAAAGGTCTGAAGGATCGATTTGAAAGCTTTCAGAATGAATGGACATTTGAGACACTGAAAAAAATGAAAGCTAGTGCTCTTGTGAGCTGCTGTTCTTGCTGAGAGGTAGGGAGGCCTCTAAATTCTAAAAATGATAAACGCTTTTAAGCCTTACTGTATCCTCCAGATTTTTTTCAAATTCCTCTAGAAATCGAGTCATAGCAGGATCACCTTCAAAATCATTAAAATGATTATTTACCCATAATAATACAATCCTCGTCACCTGTGGAAACAGAGAAGGCAGCATGTGTTTAGGAGAGGCATTCTTTCTGCAAAGTAGATTCCAAAAGTATGCTGACAACTAAGGAGTAATCAAGCTCTATGGCTGGACCCAAGACCAACTATACACTTACACCCCTTCCAAAGCAAGACTCCTTCCACTGTTCAGTTTGAATTTTTGCTTCCTTAGATACACAAGTAACAGAATAGGACTGTACACTCAGAGAAGATACAAGTCCTGTGTACTAAAATGTAAGTACAAAGGATGATACATCTTAAAATATAAGCTTCTATTATAAATGCAGAAGAAGACCATACTAAAATGTTTTTAAGGGAAGAACATGTTTAATAATCAAAATTGTAACAAAGGGGCTGAGGATGTAGCTGAGTGGCTGGCACCAAGCCTGCCTGGCAAGCCTTGAGGTCCTGAGTTAGATCCCCAGTACCAGAAAAAAAAAAATTGTAACAAAAACAAATCTGAAGCTTTCTTTACTATAAATACTGACAATTTTTTTAAGGGTAAGCTGGTCACTTTGCTCCATATATTTAAAAAAAGACTTAAAGATTAACCAATGCAAGTAATCTGCAAATATGTCTTATCTTGGGTTTCTTGATAATGTCCTTTCAGGCACTAAAGGTTGAAAAATCAAAATTTCTTTTGATTTTGCTTTGGGTCTCAGATCTGAACAATTATTGCCAAATTTCAGGTCATGAAGAATTATTACTATCTTTTCTTTCATGAGCACCATAGTTTTGAGCTTTTATATTTAGTTCTCTGACCCATTTTTGTGCAAATTCTTGTACATACTAAATGGGTCCAATTTTATTCTTTGGCATATGGCTGATTATTGCTAAATTTGTTCACTATCTAAAATGCATTTATTGCAACTGAAATAACTATATTTGATTCCAAAGAGGGAGGGGGCAAGCCTGTTGTTTTTGACACTGTAGAGTTCTAATTACCTATATCCATCATATTTCCTATAAAACACAACTCAGAAAGACAGCTGGCAATTGTGATCCTACTTTTTATTTTCTTACAATATCGTACTTCCTATCCACTTGCTGAGGGATTACTAGTCTGCCCATTAAATATACAAAGACACCCCACAGAGTAATCTACTTAAAACACCAATTGACTTTAATGAAAAAAATTACATAAAGATCTGACAGACAGAAGAAATTAGGGTTTAACAAATGACTGCAAAGTCTGTAATTAAGATATTCCTTCATCTGAGGTTGAAAATAATTTATCTGATGATTAATCAACTAATGTTTTATTAACTTTCAGAAACAACCCAGTATTTCACTAAAATTACAAAATACTATCTTGCAGCTATCATGTTTCCATCAATGCTGTATCATGGTCTCAATTCAGTTTTTGCCTTTTAAGACTCATGTTCAGTTTCATTTGTTTTTATCACATCCACTTTTAACAGGCCATTCTGTAACCAGTAAGCAGAGCTGTATCTATATGGACATTCATTTTTCACATGAAATGAATTGTTATTAAATTAACAATCAAGCTGGCTGTGGTAGAACAAACCCGGAATCCTAGCATTTGGGAGGCTGAAGCAGGACGTCCATGAGTTTGAGGCCAGCCTGAGCTACACAGCGAGTTCAAAACCAGCCTGAACTACAAATGGAGACCTCATCTTAACAATAATCAATAAAGGGCTGAGGATTTAGCTCTGTGACACCACGCCTGCTTCACAAGTGCAAGGTCCTGAGATCCTGTGTATAATCCCCAGTACCGCAAAAAATAAAAAAAAAAAAATTAAAAATCTGTCAACAACAAAAGTTCTCATTAGTAAAATTTAAGTATTTAAATTACTTTCATGTCCTTTATAAAGACTAACCTTATCTCTTAAACTGTCAATCTTAAACCATTCTAATAGCTTAATTCCAACATCCAAAGGACCTTCAAGAAATGTCCTGTAAGTTAACAGAAAATCTTCTATGTAAGTTGGGTCCACAATAGAATGCTCTTCTATTAAATGCATGATGAGACGCTCAGGTGTTGCCTAAAAATAAAAGGAGAGAAAGGATTAGAAAAATAAACAAATAGCTTGGGATTCAAATTATTCCTCTGTGGACATTCCTTTAAAACTAGTTTCCAAAGACTAAAGCAAGGAGGAAACTGCAAGAATCGAACTTTAAAACTGAGAATTTTTTTTCTTGTGAGATAAGCAAGTCCTCCAAACTTCCTCCTGCTGAGCAGAAGTCAACATCCTCTTCCTTCCTTAGCCCAGATAGTTAAAGAATATGCAGATGCTAGCCTAAAAAGTAGAAACCCAGGATCCTTTCAACAAGAAATGGACCAATGCGCTGAAGACAGCTGGAACTGACAAAAGGAGCATGGGGAACTGCACTGGTTCTCTGTGGGCTCTTCTCTATTCTGTTCCTTTCTATAAAAGTCCCTTAGTTACCTGCACAGAGCGAGATGGTGATCAGAGGGAAATAGCCTCCTCCGCCCCCATGGAGCTACCTTGGAATTCCTTTCTTCCTCTTACCAAAAACAAAACAAAGCAAACCCCCCCCCAAAAAAAACTAGCTTCCAAAGCAGAGTTTCACTTTTAGACCCTTAGTACTGGGAGGAGGCAATCTCTTTAGTCTGTAATTCAGCAGCACCCAGACGTTTACAGCAAGAAAATGGAAAGAGGAGAAAGTACCCAGCAGCATTACTCATCTATACCTGCTTCCACTGGCATTTCATCGCAGAAGGGCCTTTGATTTTTCCTCCTGCTGGCTGTTACACACCTGTTACAACTAGGGGCATGGAATGATTGTCCAAGACAAAAAGAGGAAGTGAAAGTTAAATAAGGAAAGAAAAAGAAAGAAGAGACAGGAAACAAACTTTCTTCCAAGTTTAAGTCAGTTAAAATTTTCTTCTGTCCCAGGCTATAGGAACAATAGGTCAACACAAGATAGCCAGATTTACTGTTACTACTTCCTTGAAGAGATTACTGTTATTTCCTCCTGTATGGTTTCTCCCTACTGGTTCACTGTTTTAGGAGGAACCAAGTGTCCTACAGTAGGTTTTTTTGTTTTTTTTTTTTTTTTTGGTACAGGATTGAACTTGGGAACTTTCACTTGCGAGGCAGGCAGTGCCACCACTGAGCTAAATCTCCAGCCTTTAGCAGTTTTTACATTCAGCATTTAAAATGCTTGCCTGTCTCCCAATTTATAAAAGGAAATATAAACATTTCTCATTGCTCTTCCTTGAGCTTCTGAATCAATGTCAACATTAGCCTTTGTGATTTTTCAAATGTAGCACATAAACAACAAACAAAACCAAAAAACCCAGATTTTAAGCCTAATATAGACAACTGTTGGTATAACCCCTTCAATCTGCTGCATTCATCTGACCAATTCTCGATTCATAATTGTATAGTAGGTATACATTAATGCTAAAAATGTACTACTCTGAAAATTTATATTTTTATAAAAAGACACTCCCTGCTAACAAACTATATAAATTTTTTTTCTCTAGAAGGAAGCCTGAAATTTTCATTTAACCTACTTAAGCTACAAGGAAACCATCCATTATTCTTCTTCTCCTACCCTCCAAAACACTGTAATTCTGAGAATATGAAGTGGTTTATTAATCAGAACAATCATTGTTTTGGGTCACTTAAATCTGGTTCTTAGATCATATACAGCGAAGTCAGGGGTAGGAACTGGTCAGCTTGAAAGAGAAGAGGCTACGCCAGGCATGGGGGCGCACACCTATAATCCCAGCACTCAGGAGGCTGAGGCAGGAGGATCGCTGTGAGTTCCAGACCAGCCTGGGCTACATAATGAGTTCCAAATCAGTCTCAACGAAATGAGTTTCAGGTCAGTCTCAACTACATAGTGAGACCCTGTCTCAAAAACAACAACAACAACAACAACAAACAAGAAAGAGAGACTACATTCTGACGGGCTAAACCCATGAAAGACTATGCTAAACACTGAAAACTTTCTACAGATGAGTCCCATAACCAGACAGGGCACATCACCAATGTGCTCACCAGCAACCACAGAGGTAGAATGTTTGAAGACAAGTGGAACAAAATGGTAGCAGGCAAAGGAGATGGCTGGTGTAGTTAAATGGGCATGTAGAGACTGATCACAAACGACAAATAAGAAAATAAAGCATAACAAGAGCAGCTCCTGGAGAAGGTATTTATAAACACAGAAAACATTAGAGAAAACTTCTGTAGTAAAGTATTGCAAGTAGAAGTATTAGTATGAATTCATGGTTGCTACACATTGTATTTCCTAGCTGTGTCTGAGTAGGGATCTAAAAGCAATGCTACCTCAGAGTGCCCAGATCTTGGTATATAAATTCTATTCCTCTACTGGAAGGATCATGAGCTGTCTGGAGAAATGGCTGATTCCAAAGCTACAACAGAAAGACAAAGTTCATGTTGAGCTTTATTATTTGCCACCTAGCAAGGAAGTACGGAAAGAAGGATGTCAAAAGAATATAGGAATCAACCTGATGGTCTCACAGGCCAAATGTTAAACAATTTAAGAATAATAACCATATGGTAAGGGAAAACAACGGATGAGTTAGCTAATACAAATAAATTAATACAAAAATGAAAGCTCATCCTTACAGAGTAAGAATTAATAAATACAGAACATGTTATGGAAATAGGATATCACCATTTCAGGCAGAAGTAATTAACAGCAATGAAAACCGGTGGGTAATGCCTTAAACCTAGTTGTTACTATCCATAAACTGGAGGTTGTAAATTGATATTATCACATCTCTCTCTACCATGCATGCATCAGTATATTGGACACCAAGGGAGACTTCCCAGTGAAGAAGCCCTGCAGACAGTCACCTACAGGATCAGAACACCACTGTTAACTGTTAACTTCAGAAATGGATGGACAGATCAACATCTGTGCTTCCTGAGGTGAGGCACTAAGAAGAGCTCATCACCATTTCGGTGGAATTCTTCCCAGGAGAGAATGAATTGAGTATGGTAAAGAAATGCTGGACAGATCCAAGCGCAGATACTCCTTGTTTAATGACTAGACTTAAGACTTGACTTTTTTTGTAGGTACAGTTCTGTACATCTTGTTCATACAGCCTCAATGTCTTTTTTGGTTTTGTTTTGCTTTTTTTGAGACAGGGTCTTACTATGTAGTTGAGACTGACCTGGAACTCACTATGTAGTCCAGGCTGGTCTAGAACTCACAGAGATCCTCCTGCCTCAGCCTCTTGAGTGATGGGATTACAGATGTGCCCCACCGCGGCCAGCATTTTTTTTTGTGTGTGTGTGTGTAGTACAAGTTTCTTAATATCACATGATTCTGAAAAAGAGCAACAATGGAGTAAATGCATGGAAATATTAAAAGCAGGGAAGGGGAGTGTACGGCGCATGACTATAATCCCAGCACTCAGGAAGCTGACACGGGTTTGAGACCAACCTGAACTACACAGTAAGACCCTGTCACAAATAAAGTAGAGGAATCGGACTGAGCTCACTGTAATGTTTCTGCAACTTCACAGTAAGTTTGCAATTATTAAAACACCACAGTTCCCAGAAAAAGATAAATGAATTATTTTTTTAGTTAACTGAAAATTTTAAAAAATGTGTCACACATGGTGGGTGTCACTTGTCTACAATCCTAGCACTTGGGAGGCAGAGGCAAAACGATCCCTGTGAATCTGAGGCCAGCTTGGGCAACACAGTGAGTTCAACACCAGCCTGAACTATATAGTGAGACCCTGTTTTTTGTTTTTTTTTTAATGTGTTAGCCTATGGGAGTCTACTTATCCTTTCATTTTTTTTTTTTTAATATATACAAAGCTTACACTAACCAGTTTAGGAAAAGAGAGACAGTGCTGAGGAAAAGCCTAACTACTAAGGCTCAGATAGGTAAGACACCAGACTCAGATATCTGATTTATCTTCTTCAATGTTAAACTGCTCAGTCTATAATAAAGAATGACACTCACTGTGCAAACAAGACTAGCTCAAAAAAGAGGAAGTTGTGCATTTACTTATCTCCTCTCTTCTACCTATAATTTCTCTATTTTATATCCAGAAACAAGAAAGAAGGCAACAAGGGGCAATGGGATAAAATTTATTAAAATAAAAATTTTAAAAATGTGGCAAGGAGTAGAGGAGGAGGGGAAGATGTGTAAGAGAAACCAATACACCATAGAGATCAACACTCAGACTTCATAGTTGTTTTTGATTTACTTCATTTAGCCCTAATAAAGCCCTTCTGCAATACTCCATTTTCAGAGAGGAAAAGGGAGATTTTGGGAGAAGCTCCATTTTCAATGCTACAGAGAACCAACAAGTGCTCTGCATCTTACTCTAGGACTCCTTATGCCTTTGTGACCAATCCTTGATTTTCTGTTATTTCACATAAATGAGACCAATCTACACTGTCAATGAATTATAAAATACATCTGAGGAAGAAATTGTTAGCCAATGTATTCTTAAATAAAATTACAATGCTGATATTAAATGATGATGTTATCATCCTTCATCATTAAAATGTGTACACCTCAGCTAGACAAAGGCAAAAGAATCAACTTTTAAATTAGATTTCAGTATACTACTGTAGTTAAGTATCTTGCTCTACTTAAAAAGTAAGTCCAAGCCCCCCCCCACCTTTTTTTTTTTTTAGATTTTTTGAGACAGGGTCTCACTGTGTAGTTGAGACTGACCTGGAACTCACTACGTAGCCCAGGCTGGTCTGGAACTCAGAGATCCTCCTGCCTCAGCCTCCCGAGTGCTGGGATTATAGGCGTGCACCACCACGCCTGGCTCAATGCCCTTTTAAAATTAGATGAAAAGCTTTCTTCTATGTAAAATAATAAACACTCACCTTGATTACAATGTGTCCTTTCCTGGTTCCACTCCGGTCTAATTCCCGGTGCTCATGTACCATAACAATTTCTCCCTCTTCCTCAACTTTATGGGTATTTTTTTCCACATGATTTAAAATTCTCCAATAATCCCGCTGGGCTATGCAGACAAACTGTCCAAGAACAACATGGGGACAATTAATGAACCTATAGTACATAAATACATCACTGTGCACAAAGGTAGGGCACAAAGGCGAGAAATCAAGTGGCATCAGTTCTTTTTTGTTCAATTCCTTTAACCCTTAATAAAAACCAAGGTGAAACAATTTATGCACTAAGAAAGCAAAAACATCAACGCTGTTTGAATTCTCCTCCAAATGAAGAAGTATCTACTTCTTCCAAAACTGACACTACGCAAAGAAGCAGGAGTAAGTTAGAAACAAACAACTAAGTTCCTATTTCTTTCTTTTGGTTAAAAGTAAAAAGATTCAGTGTGGGCTGCCAGTCACATAAAAGCTTAACAAATTAGGATTTATTTGGCACATTCTCTTAAAAACGTAAAGTTTGTTAAATTCTACAAATAGTTGAGGCAGATGTAAAATCTAGTTTCCATTACTAATTATCTAGCTACTAAATTTTCTAATTCTTAAACAGAGCTGTTATTTTGAGGGCGGGAAAAATATAAAAAACAGGTGCAGGCATTTACAATTAAGCAAGCAAGAGTATTTAACTAAAGAGACAAGCTTACCTGACAATCATCTACTTTAGTCCTGACAATTCCATGCATGTACTGCTTATCCAGAGTGGGAGCAATTCCAAAACTATTTCCCATAAAGAGATTTTCAACTTTTCCATCTGGATGACTAATTTCTATAGTACCATTCAAAATCACATACCACGAATCAAGCTATGGAAAAAAAAGTTTTAAGAATCTTTTAAAAAAGAGCTCATGTTAACAAGAATCTATCAAAATATATACCTTGTGTAATTTAAAAAAGAAAAAGCAGGATCTAGTTCTATATTATGAAATTCTCTGTCAATAGTTCCTTTTGCTGTGTCTATGTAAATCACTGAAGTTTATTTTACTCTTATTTTAGTCAGCAAAGAAAATTAGGAACTTCCGTAACTGGCCAAATCTTGGAGGCAAATATAATACCTTTGGAATCTTAATCCAGACCCTACCACTAACTAGCTGAGTGACTTTCAGCAAGTTATATAACCCCCTCCAGACCTCAGTGTCACCACAAGTCTGTATTACAGGACTACTATGTTAACAAAATTAGTTTCTAACATGCCTACTACAATGCCTGGCACCGCAGAATAATCATTCTAGGAAAAAAAAAAAAAAAAAAAAAAAAAGCCAATGATTTAGAAAGACCAGTAAAGGTCTAAACTTAACAAAATAAAACACTCAAAATTTCTCCTAATGTTGAAATGACACTACCTTCATTTATATGGAAGCATTTAATCCTACTGGCAGATGCATTTTTAAAGATCTAATGTGTATGAACAAAAGAATACTGTTTCCTCATTTAGTATCCCACCCCTCTTTATTAGCCTAACTCAATAATTTTAATATGATATAAGTAAAATCCAGGATTGCCAGTTCTTCAAAGATTACCAGGGGCAATAAACAATTTTCAAAAGTTCACTTTTTTAGTTATTTTAATAATAAAATACATTCACTGTTAAACTTGTGGGTAACATAAACATAAGCTACTTGAGATGAGAGACTATGTCTGATTTTTCCTGTCACTGTATCCTTGTGCATAAAGCAGCACCTGGTACAAAGCTGACACACAATTTTTGCTGACAGAACTGTAGAAAATTAAAGGAATTCAAAAAGTTATGGAGAAGAAAATAAAAATCATTAAAACCCCACTGTATACACAGTTTATTTATTGTCAATTATTATTTAAATTGTTGAAATACTTGCACTATCCTGCCTTTTAAAACAAATTTAATACTATACTCATTTATTCATCAAACTCTTGGGGGAACATATCCTAAGTGTCAGAAGTATTCTAGTATACAAGAAAATACATAAACAATGCTAGAGAGAAGGCCCCTGACCTCAAAGAAAATTCCCTAAAATAATTTGAGGAACTAGAGCAGCAGCTCAGTGGTAGAGCACTTACTTGCCCAGCATGTTCCAGGCCCCCAGATCCATCCTTAGCAGTATAAAAATAAAAAATGAAATGAAATGATCTGAGAATCTGTATAATATCCCCTATGCCATATAATGATTTGGTGTAATAAATGTTGCATTTTCTCAGATTATATTTTGGTCATATCCAATTTTTACTATTATAAATACACTGCAATGAACATCTTTTGATAGTTTTTTTTTTAAAACATGATGTCCTCAGGAGAAACACTAAGTGAAACAACAAGTCAGAGGCTGTGAATTAGTACAGGCACATTAGTATATAGTAACTCATTTTGTTAATACAGTAGTCCTATAATAGAAACTTGTTATGGCCACTTTAGGAGAAGTTAAGAATTTCTGAACGACTTTCTATATCAAATTGTAAATAACAATGTCCAGTAACTGACAGATCAGCATTAATCTTTACTAATTTGATACCAAAAACAGTGAAGCATTTCCTAATTTCCTTGTAATCCCTTTACATCATTTCTATACCTACCCACAAGAGGCCTTGAGAGTATTTTTAAACAAAATTGCCACATAAATGTCTCAAGTGGCCACAGTCCACTAGGGGGCACCATAACCAAGATGCTGCCCTCTTAAAAAAAAGGTGTAATACAGAAAAAGTGCATATTTGAGAAATAAAAATATCTGATTTAATGACTATTATTTACTGAGTAGCTATTCTGCCTAAAGTCCATTGCTAGGAAATAAAATTTAAGATAAAAAACCATAATCTCATGTCTTCAGAAGTTATGATTACCCTAAACTCAGAATGAGTTTAAATTTTAAGTCAAGATTTAAATTTATAATTATTCTAAAAGAAAAATTAGTAAAAAACCAGTATCCACATTAAATAATATGTGACATCTGCTAACCTACCTCTTGCCCGTCTTCAAGAATAACAGCTCCAGCTTGCTCTACCACTTCAAAAATCATCACTGAGCAAAGCTCTCTCCTTACTGACATGGTCATGTTTGCAAAAGCGGGAAGCTGGTGCATAAACTCAAGTAACTGTTCTATGAAACACAGAAATTTTAGCGTAAAGACAAGCAAGCATGATATACCTTAAAGATACAACAAAATTTAGAATTCAACACCCAATATCTTAATTCAAATTAGGAATTTATACTGTTACATTACGGAAACCAAGATACAAAATAACTGTTGATTTTAAAACATCAGTTACAGTTACACATTTGTTAAACTCACCTATAAATATGGGTATACTGGAGGATACCAGAATCCACAATCCCCAGACAACCACGTTCAGATGAAGATGAAGTGTTTATCTAATCTGTGTAGCCCAAAATGCCACTCTGAGGTGGTTAAGTTTAGGGATACATTTTGACCTAACTGATTAAGAGGGAAAACCTTTCATCTAATATTTTCTGTCTAGAATTATGTTTTTCTTTTTGTAAACGCTATAGAGAAAAGTTTAATAGCAAAACACCCTTAGAAATGTCACAATGTAAAGTAACTTCTGCCCTTTGCTTTGTTTAGTTCAGAATCAACAGGCACTGGAGGCATCTAGTCTCCCCTAAAAAAGTTTTGTAAATGAAAAGAATCACTGTTAACTGTGCAGACCAGACACGCCCCCTACCCCTGTGCTAGAATAGATAACTAAATGAATTTTAAAGGTTAAACTCCCCTACCAAAGAAGTGTTATATCCAGGTTGAAATTCAACTGCCTAGCCACCACGTTTTGAGTGTCAGCGATGTGAACTCTGAAAATGAAATGTAACCACCTAAATGAGATCAAGGCTGTAAAACCCTATAAAAGGAAGAGTTGTAGCCCAGTGCCGGGTCGATAAGGGCACTGCCATTAGGTGTGATTGACTCTTGTCCATGGAGTAAACTTTTGTTATTTTACTTCCATTCTTCTGCCTGTGTGTCACTTGCCAATTCCTTCCATAACACTATTAATACATGTCAGTAAGTGCTGCAATTAGTGACAAAAATGTGAATTCTAGTTCAAGACTTGTCAAATCAACTAGGCTCTTTAGCAACACTCTTTAGCTAATAAATCTTTATGGGGTCTGCAAGCCATTCTTTGCAATACACATAAGAGAAATAAAAGATAAATTTAAGGGAAAAACACATAAGCAGTTGGCTAGAGGTTTCAACAGAAAAACTGTAAGAAACTATACACTATACTCATGGATAAATGGAAGCAAATATATTTCAACCTTTAAAAAACTTTCTGAAAATACCACAGAATATAATTCATTGAAAATGCACTTTTAGCTTTTCTGTCCAGAAGTTTAGTGCATGAGCCTGAACTCCTCATTACTTAATATTATATCTTCAGAATACCAAGGACACCAGGCGCGGTGGTGCATGCCTATAATCCCAGCACTTTGGAGTCTTGAGTATCTGTTACTTTTCCCTCCATGCAGAGACTGTGCTTCTTCATATGCTAATTGCTAACTTGGTTAACAGCCTGCCCAGGGACAGATAGTACGACAAAAGGTGACCATAGAACATTTCCTGCATAAGATAAGCAGTATGTTTGAAATCTTGTCCTCTGGTAGTTTCCTGAATGCGCTGACCTATGTTTGAACTTTTTTGTTTAGAAAAACCCTATAAAACTACTTCAGCCCCTGAGCAGTTGCCTCACTGAGCTACTTGGTTCTCAGAGTGCCGTAAGGCCAGACTAAAAAAGGTCTGTTTACCAGCTAGCCTGGTGTGTTCCTTCCTGTCTTTCTTGCTGCTTGTCAAGCTCCCAAGCCTCGCTGGGTTTTAGGACCCAGCATTGTAAAGGCCTTTTCAGCTGTTCACGCTCCGTGAAGTGGGAGTGAGACTTTGGGTCTTACAAGACAAAACACCTGACACTAAAGTTAAAAGGGGGAGAGGGTGCGGAGGTTTATTTATTTGGCTTATAGCTTGTAAAGATTTCGGCCCATAATTGGCTGACTCCAAGGCAGGATAGCAGGGACAACAGTTCATAGCACTGGAAAACAGCAAAAGCAACAAGGGACCTTACCAGCATCTTTCTGCCCTTTTTAGGGCAGGTAGCACTCACGTCCTTCATCCTAGTGCCCTCGGGCCTAGTACCACCATGAATCAATCACACTCTAAATTCAGCCATCTCGTAAAAATGCAAGTAGATGGGGGGGGGGGTCTAAATGTAAACCGTAACATTTCACCCTGGCTCCCCAAAGACTCATGCAAATCTCTTAATGCAAAAAAGCATTTAGTCTATCTCCAAGAATTGCCAAAGTCCTGACAGTTTCAGTATTGCTGAAAAGTCCAAGGCCATAGTCTCCTCTGAGATTTAAGGCACACTTGTAGAAGCAAACCCATATAAATGAAAAGGAAGATAAACATTTCCAACATTCAGTGGCACAAGATAGGCATTTCCACTCCAAAACTTACAGAGGGCTACAAAGGAATGGAAACAAGGCAAGCCCAAAATCCAGCAGGGCAAACATTAAATCCCATAATTTTACTTCCAGCAATCTGTGGCAAACTGTAAATACCTAAGGGCTTGGGTGGCCCCACCTCTAAGGCTCTGTGGATGGTTCTAGCTCCCAGAGCTTCTCTCTTGGGCCAGTCCTGCTTGCTCCATGCAGCTATTCTCAGATGATCCATACACCTGTCTTCTCCAAACTTCTGGGGGTCTCCACTGTACCTTTGGCTTTACACTCAGCTTCACACACTGCCCTCTCAGGAGCACACTTCCTGGCCTCCCAGGCCTTCTGAAATCTGGGTGGAAGTCTTCCTGATCCCCTAATTCTTAAATTCTGCATGCACCTAAAAACACTGCCATGAGTATGATGCCAAGGTCTGCTATCAGCTAGAGTAGTCACCAAGCTTCCTTTTCTTTTGGCTGTAGGGTTCGAGTCCCTATGAACCAAAACCTGAGAAACAACTTGCCTAGGCTGCTGCCATTCTGGAACACGGTGCTCTGAGGCTCTTTTTTCCCCCCTCCATTAAGTTTTTAGGTATATTTTAGATATACAATACGGTTACATACTTCAGTGGGAACTTGTACCTTTACATAATGTATCTTGGTTTTTTTTTTTCCACCATCCCCCTGCCCTCCCTTCAAACCCTACCACCCCTCCCTATTTACAGACAGACTTTGATTCCATTTTTTTCTTTGAGCCTCTCTTCTTAAAGCAAAGTCTTTCACTTTTGTAATTTTTTTTTTTTTTTTTTTTT